CCCCGCAGACCGTTGTTGATCACGGGCCCGTCGTCGAAGAGACACTGTGCAGCCGACGGGGGGCACGATGGGGTTCTTACGAGTCCTGAGGAGCCGACAATCGGCTGCGCAGTGTGACAACGAGCAATCAGCCTGCCGTATATCTACGGGTCCTGTCGCCACGCATTTGTACCCCATTGTGTCGACGAAGTAGGTGGTCGGTGCCTTTCTCTCTGTTTCTCTCTCTCTTTCTATCCGTCTTGAAAATCCTAGCACAAAAGTACCCTCGCATAACGATTGGTCCTGGCAGTCTTTGACTTTAACCCTTCGTATCTCGTTGAGGACGTTTGCGGATATGTCGGATATCGGATATATCGCTTACGCTTATGTCTGTACGCTTCGTTTATTCAGAGAAACATTTATATTACGGATTTGTATGTCACGTTGCATTATATTCATATTGTCATTCCGATGGTAGAGTTGTGAAGTTGTATTTTTGATGACTGAGTTATACATAAATTATTAAATTTCTTAAATTATAAATGTACGATTTGTAAAGGAATACAAAAATTGATAAAAAGAAATTTGATATTAATTTTTGGTTATTTTCTCATATTTAAAATCAGATATGGATGCAAAAAATGTGTTTCAGACACTGTTCGGGAAATTTGTAAATTATGTTTACGATCTATGAAATACGAATAATTACTATATTTTAAGTACTATTGCTCATCGAATTTCACATAAATATATCCTGAATGCCACCACCAAATGATAAAAAATATATATTAAAACTCATTATTTGAAAAACCCGAGCTATGTCAAATACTTTTTCTGGACCTCACGTATTGCTTGTCAGCCTCCGTGATTCGCCATTCAATGATTCCCGCCCATCTTCCAACCCCCATAAGCGGCGGCGCGGGGTTGCTTCAGAAGCGGCTTCTTTGAACTCGTCTTCCTCTTTCTCGTCGCCAATCCAACTGAATATATCTTCCCCCAATCTGTTGCTCGAGAATTGTTCTGATTCCAATGGCGATGTGGTAGGTCAAGGAGTGGCAGAAGAGAGCGACATGGTCACGCATTTTCGTGAGAACTGTCGCGAAGCACAATAATAACTGAAGTTTCCTTTATCATTATGCTTTAACAATACATTTTTCACACTCGGAATCGCTTGCAATTATTTGTATCCAGTCAAAATAAGAATATAAATTTATTTTATTTTATTTATACATTTTTATACATTTTATATTATATTTATATATCGTTATGTTATAGTTTTTAAGAGTGATGATGATTTTTACTCTCTGCTGCGTTTTTTAACGCGGTAACCAGAACAGATGTACAAGGAACTGTGACGCTGATAAGTGTGACGACCTCCCAGGTTTAAACCGCACCCTCACGATGGAAATCTAGGGGCGGCATTACGGCCGATCCGTGAGTGCGCGTATGTTGCGTGACTTCGGCCTACGTGCGCCACGATACATAGGATATCCGAGACATATATTTTCCACAATATAAAGCCACTTTATACGACGTAAAACGGCTAATGTAATTTTCCTACAAGATTAATTCTGGACGATAATTTGTGATAAATTTTCATGTAATTATCATCAAATCTGTTGCTTATATAATTACTAGTATTATTTTTAAGTGCAATTTTGTTAAATAAAAAAAGACCAAAGTAGTGAAGCAAAATGTCTTTGACATTTTGAGAATTTTGCATTCCGAGTATAATTGCTCTCATTAACTGTTTCAGAGTAACGGAATTGCGGAAATTCCATGCAGAAGTCAATCGTCCGATGACGTAAAATCCTTTCACTTTACTATAAATGCTTTGCGTCATTGATCAAAGCGTTTTCTAACGCACACTGTCTTGAACTCGTAACTCTTAAAACTGATTTATGACTTAAGTCACTTACTTAATTGTAAGTACTCGAGAGACCAATAATAATAGTTCATAGTAATAACATATTTTCTTGTATGTGTTCAAGATATCATGAATTTATCTCAGCTTGATTAATTGAAAAAGATGCGTCAATTGTGCGTGCTTTATTAGTATTGTTACATAATTTAAAGAATATAGTAAGATTTGAAGACTTTTTTTCTCTCTAAATAACAAAAATCTTTTATAGCCACTGCTGTCGAATACTGTTTCTTTTTGCCATGTCACTATTTTTTTCAATTTATGGATGTGCTCCACAAATGTATGAACGCTGACTACCGTTGAAGGGGAAATAAAATGGAACGGACGAAAAACACACAGAACCAGTTCACGCGGACATGATGGCTGCTCCCCCTTAATAGTAATGCAGCCCCCCGTGCAGTGCATCGGTCGGACCTTTTCAACCAATGGGATTGCCCGCCGCGTTTCGAACAATGGTGCGACCGAATAGATTAATCAAACTTAACCGAGCCAATGAAAGCCGTGCAAATCCCGCGTGGGGGATGCAGTGCAGTGCGTACGTACGTCCTCGTTCCGTTCGTGCGACTGCAAACGAGCAGTTGCATGGTCGCCCATTGCATCCTAGCGAAATCATGCCGGGGAGAGCTATGGGAATATATCGTGCAACGAGGCCGACATGATGGTGTTGCGAATTTAATGACGATCACGAATCGGCGGCGTTCAACAATGTCGAAAACGACCTTTGATATGCAAAGATCTCTTGCATCGATCTTTGACTTGCAGAGATCATTCACAAAATTCGCAAAATAATATTTTTTGACGAAACAATTGTTGTCATTATTAGTACGCACATAATTAATACGTTTTTAATTTTTCTAACAATTATATAATTTGACTTCCATATTAAATATAATCGTAAGATAAGTAATGCTTATTCTTCATAATACAACTAGAATTTAGAATAAAATTATTTTTATGGATTGTTTCTCAGCTATATAGTTGTTTATTTTTTAATTGTACTAAATTATCAGTCGTATATTCGCCGTGCGTATTCGCGAGAAACGAAAGATAAGTCGTGAAATTTACTACCAATAAATAAGAGACGTTTGACTGAGCTTGCAAGATGGGTTTTAACGTACTTCGAAATGGCAGCGAGGGGGCACATGAGGATCGAAGAGGGGGTTTCTCGGGGGTTGTTGCTGTAACCAGGATCTTGATGAATGAACTAGGGCTTCATGCCGCTTTGGTCCACGTTACCCACACGGCAGCTGGCTATGCCGCGCTGATTGGTCGCGCATCACGCCGCGTTTGTGGATCTTTTGCAAAGCGATCGGCGTATATGTGTCTAGGGTGCCTTAACCGGGACCCCTGTAGATTTTCACTGTTCTCGCGCGGGGTACCAAGGTGTGTGCGCCC